TTAATTCGGTTCTCTTATTTTCATTTCTACCCAGTATTTCATAATATTGTGATGGTTTTATTTTTCTACCAACTACTCTTAAGAAAGACAGCCATGACTGCCTATTTTGAGTACGTATCAAATAAAACTTGGACCAAGTTGACTAGTATATATTCCAACCTAGATCCTTCACAGGTAGACTTGCCAATATTTGCATCAAAGGAAATGTGAATGATAGAAATTTCAAGACAAAGAAGCCGATGAGACAGGTGGGTGGAAAGAAGAGTAATCCTAACAACTAATAGCTTCATCTTATCATTATAGTCATGGAATAGGCCTACATTCACTATTGTTATTAAGAGCACCAAATATCTTTACCCCTTTACCTTATCACATGGATTGTCATCTCTTCTTCCTCTTTTTTTTTTCTTTCATTCTTTCAGGAGCATCTCATACAGTTAACCAGTTTATGCATCTTGACTTATGTTCTTCACTTGGCTTCTAAGTATTCTCATCAGCATTGTTTTGTTTTCCCTCTTATCTTTTATATTTATTTATTCATTTAGTTATTTTTTTATTCTTACCTGAGGACATTTTTGCATTTATCTTCAGATAGAGCGAGAGGGAGGAATAAAGAGGGGGAAACATCGATGTGAGAGAGACACATTGAGTGGCTGCCACCCACACAACCCCAATCGGAGCCAGGGACAAACTGCAACCGAGGTACGTGCCCCTAATGGGAACCGAACTCAGGGCTCTCTGGTCCGCAGGCCAACGCTCTAACTGCTGAGCCAAACCGCTCAGGGCCTTTTCTTTTTATTTTAAAAATAAGCTTGTTTAATTCAATGATGAAAGCTATCAAAAGAGGATTCTTCTGAAAATTATTTTTTTCTTAGAAAAAAAAGAAAGGAAAATCAACACACTATCAGCATAGCCGGAGATACTGGGACAGTCAAGCCTCTCTGCAGACTGGGATAGTCCAGCAACCTCTGGGTCGGCAGGATTGTAGTCTGGGCCCTCATCATCATCGTCCAGCCCCAAGTCATCCTTTTCCTGGTACAAAACCTCATCTACCTCCACACTGTTTCCAGCATGCTGCAAACACTGGATGTTAGATATGTCAACATTATGAGCTGTTTCAAATAGATGTTTCTCACTAAATTTATTTTTTTCTGCTTGTTCTTTCATTTCTTTCTTTTTAATTCCAAGACTTCTGCATCAAATTTGGCTTTCCAACTTAAGAACTTCTCAATTGTAACAGGAGTGCAAGAAAAAGATTTTCTTCTGCCTGCTAAAATGCCAGAGATACCATTATCTTCTAGGTTTCCCTGTGAGAATATTTCATAAACAGAGGGGGCTTCATCTGGGTATTTTTCATTGTATGAAACGTTGTGGTCATCTGGCCAGTTTCACCATTTTTTCAGCCTCAGCGGTTACAGCAATGGTGACACTGGGAGGATTTTCTGATGGTGCTGTAAAGGAGTCCGAGAGGATGGACTCCAGCACCTCCAGCTCCTAGTGCTGCTCCTTCTGGCAATCTGTCATCTGGGCCATTGCTGTTGCCCAGGGTTCGCCCAGATACCCAGGTGGCGGCAGCAGCTGGGCAGGTACGGGCTCAGAGTATCTGGTTGGGAGGCCTGGTGCCCAAAACCAGAGCAATAACCCTGCGTCCGCCTCCTGATTTCCCTCTTATCTTGTTAGCCTCTCTTCTTTCTCCTTTGCCTGAAGTTGAAATATTCTAGTGCTCTAAAACTTAGTTCTTAAATTAAGTCTTCATACTCACTCACTCTCAAAGTGATTCATTTAGGACAGTGATTCTTTTCTACTTCAGGGCCTTTACTCTAGAAGTTGCCTCTACTTAGAAACTTATGTCAGACGTCCATATAGCTAGTTTCTTTTCATAATTCATTTACATTTCCCATGTTAATATTTCTACCTAATGTGTACAAACATAAAATACATCTCCTGATCTTCCCTAAGTTAATGGTATCATCATTTACCCAGTTGTTCAAACTAAAGACATAGGTATCATTCTAGATTATTCTATTCTACTGGCCCCTAAAGTCAAATTCTTCAACTGGTATTATTAGCTTAACCTTCATAATATGTCCAGAAACTGATCCATTCTCACAATTTCTATGCTATGGTAGGCAGACTTCTAAGACTGACCACAAGATCTCCCACCCTTGGTGTATATGCCTCGCATAATTCCCAGGGCAGTGACTGTGATGCACTTTACTTATGTTATATGGCACCATAGACTTTAATACAGGGAGGCTATGCAACTGATCAGTTGGGTACTTTAAAAGCATAGAGCTTTTTCGAGCTGGTCACAGAAGAGAAGTCAGAGATTTGAAGCATGAGAAGAGTCTGATGCGCCTTTGGAGATGGTGGGAGCCACGTGTCAAGGAATTTGGACAGCCTCTAGAAGCTGAGGGCAACCCCTGGCTGAGAACCGATGAGGAAATGGGAATGCGAGTCCGATAACCACAGTGAATTAAATTCTGCTGACAATCTGAACGAGCAGTTATTTCCTCAAAGCCTCCAGATGAGAACTCAGTCAACACCTGGAATTTGGCCTTTGAGACCCTTAGCAAAGAATACAGCCACATTGAGGGGGCTTAAAACCTACAGAACTGTTTGATAATAAATGGGTGCTGTTTTATGTCACTACACTTGTGGTAATTTATTATTCATTAATAGAAAACCAATCCACATGCTAAAACCTTAACTGAAGATACCACTGTCTATAGCCTGTTATATAGAAACAGTCTCCTAATTGTGCTTGCTTCCTTTTTAAAAATTGATCAGAGAGAGAGAGAGAGAGAGAGAGAGAGAGAGAGAGAGAGAGATTTGCAGCTCTTTTATTTATGCATTCATTGGTTGCTTCTTGTATGTGCTCTGATGGGACATTGAACCCACAACCTTGGTGTAGAGGGACAACAGTCTAACCAACTGAGCTACCTGGCCAGGGCTTGCTTCCTCTTTGTACCCTTGTTTTCCTATACTCCATTTCTTGACACAACCGCAAAAGAAACCTTCATTAAAGTGTTCTTTTCAAATCATGTAACTCGCTTAAGTCTTTCCAGTGGCTTTACCATTACTTAGAATAAATTCCAAAATCCTTAACATGAGCTTTGGTATTCTATTTGATGTACTGTCATCTAACTCTCAACCACACCTCTTACTTCTAACTAGTTATTCATTTCTTAAATATGCTAACTCATTTCAAGCTCAGAGATTTTATATATGTTTTTACTTCTACCTAAAATATTCTTTAGCTGTCTTATCATTTGACTTTCAGCTCAAATGCCACTTTCTTTTACAACTACCCTTTTTATATTCTATCCTAGTTAGTCCCTATTTATTTCTCTTCCTTCATTTTTATGGCATATTTTACTATCTAATTAAATATTTTTCACGTGTTCACTTATTTATTGTTTGTTTCCCTTCCAAGACAATAAGCTAAATATGGTCAGCCTGTTTTGCCGGTGATTATGGCCGAGCCTTGCACACAGTGGCTGAGTGCATGAAGACCTGTGCTTCAGGGAGACTTCTTCCCTCCCCCACCAGTGCTTAGTTCTCTGCTTGAATTTTCCAATCAGTAGTCAACTTTCAAGTTTCTCCATGTAGGAGATGCCAGCCATCCCAGTGCTTCTGGGCTGTAAGGATGGAAGGAAGCCTGGAAAGTGCTGGAGGCTCTACCTCCCACGTTTGCTTTGCCTGCCTGTGTTCAGAGTCAGCAAAGCTTTCCGTCGGGAAGGGGTTTTCTGAGTCTAATTTGACTTACATCACAGTTCTGTTGTTTTCCCTATCTCAGGGAATACAATCAGTAATCAGTGTTTCTGTTCTTGTTTTTTTTTTTTCCTTCTTGTTTTAGTCCCAGAAGCATTTTATTTGGCAGGAATTCCTTTTCAATCCTAGAATGTAATCAGTTTCTACTATTTACTTGAAATGTTGACTAGGGTATTTTCTCACTTAGCTTGTCATTTTAATAATATTATTTATAGTATCATATTGACCTGTACAAAAACTTGAGACTTTCCAACAGAGCTCTCCAGAGATAGAGGCTATGTTGGGGATAGTTATTTTCCGTGATAGGAAGGTACTCTGGTATAGGGGAAATAATTACACGGTAAGAAAGAAAGTATTAAAATTTCAAATGGATAGCTTGACTAGGAGACTTTTTAAAACTTTAAATATGTTTTTATTAATTTTTTTTAGAGAGAGAGATAGACACATTGATGTGAAAGAGAAGTATCGATTGGCTGGGGATTGAGCCCGCAACCGGAGCATATGCCCTGACCAGGAATCAAACCCAGACTTCTCAGTCCACAGGCCAATGCTCAATCCACTGAGCCACACTGGCCAGGCTTGACTAGGAGACTTTTAAAGTACTCTTCCATCTTTGAGATATTACAGTTCCTTATATGTATGACTTTAGCCCCAATTAATAATGCAACCTTCAAAGAATAGTCAATTAAAAGTGTCCTTCATGTTACAAAGCTGATGTACTCCTGAAATAATTCATACAGCATACACCTCCTGCACAAACCAACCAGGGCCGGGGACAAACTGCAACCGAGGTACATGCCCTTAGCGGGAATCGAACCCGGGTCTCTTTGGACCACAGACCGACACTCTAACTGCTGAACCAAACTGGCCAGGGCATTTCAACACATTTTGACTTTTATTATAATATAGGAATAAACTATTTTGAAAAATAATTTAAATCCCATACTAATTAGGCTAGATATTGTGAAATAATACTAAAACTAAGATTCATTTAGGAATCTATACTTGGCTAGTCTATATATAATGTTAATATGCCCAATTTATGACTTATTGATTCATTATGGAATTGAAAATATTTCAATATAGTCTTTAATATCTTATATTTAATTTTTTTATAGTTCACAAAAAGACATTTGTGACAATATATTAAAAGTTAGGAAAACTTAAATTGAAAAATTCCCAATTTATTTATTTTTATATTTTTTTAAAAATGTGAAGTAACTTACCCTGGTGCATAGTTGCATATGAAAAGTGCTGCATATCTAATACGTCCAATTCTTGAACATGGAGTAACAGCACAACCAACTTTGTAAGACTTGTCCCAAACAAGCTAAAATAAAATTTTCAAGGAAAATATGAAATGTAATTCTAAACATTTACTCTGCCATATGATAAACAATAATATTCAATTCCCACAGAAACTTTAACTAAACAATGGAAGAAATATGAACTACTCTTCACTTGGGTGCAGGTAGAGAATTATCATGGTTTTAGGGCAGCAATTGCAAAACTGAATTTAGAGAAATACTTTAATAGATTCTACCAATAAGTATTCTTAGGATGAAGAGTTTGATAACCACTGATCCAGAATAATGCTTTAAAGCCAAAGAAAGGCCCATGTGCTGAAGCAGTTTTCATCCTCTTGTAGAATCTGAGAGTTCTAGGTTATTGGAAGAGAGGAAGAGGGAAAGAGAAAAGAACAGTTTTGAAAGAATAGAAGTTATAAATAGAAGGGAGAAAGAGAGAGACACTAAGATTATAGAAGGAAGGAAAAGCGATACAGGACTAGAGAGTAATTGAATGCTTTTAGCACTTTTCTTTTGTTGAATAAATTCCATTATAAAACAGAGTCTGGGCCTTTCATTTAAAAAGTGAATAAAGAAGCTTGTTCTTGTAAAAGAAAAAATTAAATTGAAATAAAAATATGAGAATAATTAAAGATATTCCAGAAATTCTCTATATGGTTTTAATATTTCTAATACTTTAGAGTGACAAAAAAAAAAAAAGTACTTGTTTTGTTTTGTTAATCTCTGTAGGAGAGAGGGGAACCATTTCTGCTTTTTAAAATTTTTATCCCAAGCCTTAGTGGTTTTAAAAGTGTGATTTTTAAAGAAATAGAGTGGCCCTGGCTGGTTTTGCTCAGTGGTTAGAGCATTGGCCTGCGATCTGGAGAGACTCAGTTTCGGTTCCCGCTAAGGGCATGTACCTCGGTTGCAGTTTGTCCCCGGCCCTGATTGGGTCATGCGGGTGGCAGCCACTCCATGTGTCCCTTTCACGTCGATGTTTCCCTCTCTCTCTCTCCCCCTCCTGCTCTACCTGAACAAAAAATGGAAAAATGTCCTCCGTTGAGGATAAAAAAAAGAAATAGAGTGATTCATGAAAAGAATAGAGAATAGAATGTCTGCAACAGTTAAATTAGAGTTAGTAAGATTAAATACAGAGGACAAAAATGTCTAAGATACTAGAATTAAGGAGTACAAAATAAAGAGGAGTAGGTCAGGGAGTAGAATTTGTTAGTTTGCTGAGAGTATGAAGTTATATTAAGGAGACTAGCTTTGATATGAATAAGACAACGGAGAACCACTATAACTTTCTAGAAGAAGAATGAACAGATCCAACATATTTTGAAACATCATTCATTTGAGGAAAGAGAAAGAAATGAATTCAAATGAAAAAATTCCAAGATTTTGCGTTGTACATAAAACATGATATCAGAGTTTATTGATAGAAAAATTATCATATTTTAAATAAGCTTGAAAGTTCTGTTAATAAATTATTGATCTCTGATACAAATATTTCTTGAAGACCTAAATAATGCCAGATTGTTGTGTTGAAAATAAACAGATGAGAAGTCAAGATCCCTGCCCTTAGTGTAGTAGCACATATAGATGATTATTAAGCAGTGTGATCAAGTGGTTCATAACAAGTGGGGTGTAAAGTATAAGGGTGGAATATAAAGTGTAAGGGTATATTGTTAAGACATGAGGTAGGGAAATAACACTATTCACTAGCATTTAAAATGTTTTAACCAATTTGTTATAAAGTAGTATGTGTACTGATCTATGCAAAAAATATCACGTCCTTTACTTATGTTTATAGTTAAATTATAGTCAATAATTTAAAAATAATTTTTATTTTCTGGTTTCTTAATTTCTTTTCCAGTGTACATTATTTTACAAAAGTACCTTTCATCTTTGGTTATGGAGATTAGATTTCCTATATTTAAAAGACTGTTTTAATTGATTCACATAATAGATGGAATTACAGATGTTTTGAAGATCTAGGACTGATAAGAATTTTTATTCTATTAGAAGTAATAATTTTAATTTATTTATAAGCTTGAAACAATAAAAACTTGATAGGAAAGCAATTAAGGAGTCTATTGAATTAATAATATCAAAATTAGATACCTGTATATAATTAGAACAGTCACCAGCGCAACTGTCATTTTCAAAATCGTACTTTTTCCCCTCTGCATACCAGCTTCTGATAGCAATACTTGCAGTAAATTCATTTTCAGGACCGACCCATATATTTTCACCAATACCATTAAATTTAGGATGGGCCATATTTATTTCTTCTAAATGAGTATTACGTTCAAGCACACATTTTTTCCCCCATGCTCTAGCAGTCCGTGACAAAGCTACATCCCAAGTCTGAAAAAAATGCAAAAAGCAAAGAAAACAAAATAATGATGAGTTTTTTTGTGTGTGTCTCTAAATTATTTTTCTTAAGTTTTCATAGTAAGATTTATGGAAAACAATCCTAACTTTGTGCTTATGGATCTTATTTGTGGAATTTCTATAGGGAAAGTTTTTCTTTATATATTTATAAATGAAACGACTATTTCCTGGGACAAAGGACTATGCATGTATTTGTAATTAAAAAGACAGATTGTTAGATGATGCAACTGATTATGATACTCTTACATGTAGTCTGTTTAGAATATATAGATATTTAATCTCATGCCTTTTATTCATAGTAATACGCAGTAAAAATATTTATTTAAGAACTATTTATTGAGCAGAGGTTTTATGCAAAATACTGTGTTGTGAGGAATAAAATTTGAAGTCAGCATAAATTTTGTGCTCTAGTTGTTTCTTATTAGGATAACAACCTGGGAGATTATATATATATATAATTTTAACACATAGTGGTTGGTAGTTAAAAGAGAGACATAACATTTTATGATGTTCCCAGAAATGTAAGAAAATTTCACAAGATGTTGCTCCCGGCCAACTGTCTGGGAATATCCACAAATGTGGATATTTTTTGTTTCATAAAGGAAGTAACTAAAACACAATTTGTCATTATTTAGAGCCTCATTAAGTTCATTGTTTAGTTAAGGGCAAGAAAAAAACAACACACAGAAAAAACTCAACAAAATAGTTGTAAAACCAAAATGCTGAGTACATATTTTACAGTATATTTGAAAGTAAGCATTTCTGAAAACTAATATTAAGATTTCCTTAGGGTTTTCTCAATTCCATTATATTAAAAAAATATATATTATGAAAAATAAACAAATCAGGCTTTTAAAATAGCCTCCAACTACTTCCCTCCCCAAAAGTAATTATTATTTAAAAAATTGCTATGTATATATTTCTCTATGTCTACATACACACACACTTATAAGTACATACATATATAAGATAAAAGTGGATGTTTTAAATGAATATTTTGTGATTTTTTTCTTGCACTACTGTAATCATACCATACCATAATATTATTGGCCTGCAACTTGCAGTTTTCAACTAGAGAGATTGTTCCATATTAGCATAACTAGATCTACTTAAACTTTTGCAGTCTTTACATGGTATTCCATAGTTTGAGTAGCATATAATAAATGTTGCCATTGCACTATTAGGGACCCTACAGATTGTTTCTCATTTTCAAACTGTTCCAGGGACCATCCTTTTACTGGCTTATTTTGTATATTGCTTATATATCAAATGCTTACCATGTACAAGTTATTATTCTGTTTTTAATGCATTATTTCACCTAGTGTTCAGAATACTCTGAGGTATGCATTGTTATTATTTTTTGTTTCATAAAGGAAGTAACTAAAACACAAACAAATAGTTTACCTGTTGCCACTTATAACCAATAAATTGTGGAGCCTGAATTTAACCCAGAGAATCTACCTCTCAACTCCAAGTTTGTAAGTATTTTACTTTATTCCTTCCCATGATGGTGTACAAAATAAGTTATAATATTTACAAATTCCTTTGCTCAACTTTGAATAAAATTAGTTGTAAACAGGCTAATTTTTTTTCAATTATATAATACAGTGTTATCAGGTATAGTCACTACCCTTTTACCAACCTCTAACCATTTCCCCATCTCTTGCTCCTGGAAACTACTTTCTTTTCTACTCTGTTTTTATGAGTCACTTAAAAATTTTTTTTAGATTCCACATATAAGTGATACCATGTAGCTTTTGTCTTTGCCTGGCTTATTTCACTTAGCATAATTATCTAAAGGTACATCCAAGTTGTAGTAAAGGGCAGGATTTCCTTTTTTCTCATGGCTAAATAATATTCCATTGTATATATACACCACATCTTCTTTATCCATTCATCCAATGATGGACACTTAGGTTCTTTCCCTGTCTTGGCTATTATAAATAATACTTCAGTGAATGTGGGAATGCAGTAATCTCTTTCATATCTTGTTTTTATTTCCTTTAGACATATACCCAGAAGTGGAATTGCTTGATCATATGGCAGTTCTATTTTTAATTTTTGAGGAACTGCCAAAACATAATATTATGTTTTGTTTTTGGTGGCAAAATTATGCTCAGAAACTGTTTGTATTGCCAGTTTTTTATTTAACACAGGTTCACTGAGAGAATTATAATAATATCATAAGCCAATAGCATATAAAATATCTCTTAATAAGGCAATAACAAATAACATACTCCAAAGCAATGTTAGTTTAATTACATTATTGTTCTAGGCAAGGGGAGATGAAGGGAATAAAGTCCAAATTTAGTTGAGGTGTACTTTTTATGAGTTGGTAGTCAGAAGACACAGCTTAGGTAACCTAAAGCTGTTGTCCAGCTGACAGTGCAAAAATGAAAAAGTCATTTGTTGGTAGAGCATGTTGCTAGGTTACAATGGTACTGGTGTTGACAGGCAAGCTGATCTCCCTCACAGGGCCACTGCACAGCTGTGGCCACTGCCAGTAAAAGAGTAGCCCTTTACTGCCGTGAGAGCTGATGTCCCAAAGGTCTTCAAAGAGCTATTTATGTCAGCAAAGTGTGGCCTTGCCCAGACTGAAGCTCTCCAATAGTCTTTACAAACTCTCAGTATTTATAGTCTAAATGTCCCCTTCATAGTTGTTCCTTCAGATGTTTTTATTGATAAGCTCCGGCAATGCCCTTCATTAGTTGAACTCCTAAGTGCTTAGCAAATATCCTGACACATCTTACCTCACTCTATATCAAAACAACTTTACTCTTAAAACAACTTCATTCCTATCATATACAGGTGGATTTTAAATCATATCAAATCAATACACAACATATTTTCCATAGTGGCTACACCAATCTACATTGCTACCAACAGTGCACAAGAGTTCCCTTTTCTCCATATCTTCATCAAGACTTGGTATCACTTGTTTTGTTTTTTTTTGATGATAGCCATTCTAAAAGTTGTGAGGTGACATCTCATTGTGGTTTTGAATTGCATTTTCCGGATGATTAGTCATGTTGAGCATATTTCATGTACCTGTTGGCTAAAACTATAATTCTTAGAAGAAAACAAAACGTTAGGCAGAATAGAGCGATACTAAGGCAGAGAGGGGGGTTATTATCACACCCAAGCAATCCTGAGACCTGCCAAGATTATCAACAGTAAAACTGCAATGTCAAGAGGGAGCTCGAAACCTTGCATGCAAGTTCCAATACCAGGGGAGGGCAACCTTGAAGCTTGAACCTTGAACGATGAAACTTCTAGCAAAAAGATATATAATCCTTAAAACCCTAATGGGTGGGGTGCTGAGACTAGCTCAGTTGCCCACTTGTGTATTATGCCAAGTGTATCCTTAATAAATTTGCTTGCTTTGCTTCAACACTGCTTTCTATCACTCATCTGAGCTCTTTCTCTCGAGCTGACAAGAGCAGAGGAGGGGAGAGCTGAGCCCTCTCTGACTTGGCTGGCTCTCTGGTAACATCTTTCTGGTACCCTGACTTGGATAGCTGCCTGATCATCTTTGATTCCTGCTGACAGATTGCAGTAGGTTCAGTCCCTCCAGGAATTTCTTTTTGCGTTTTGCTCTCAGAATTTAGGGGAGTTGCAGCATAATGAAGATTAGCAAGACATATTGGGCCTGTGCCTGGGTGCAGAAAATTAAAAGTAAAACCAACTGAGTGCTCTGGCTTGCCCAGGCTCCGAAGAAAAGAGGCAAGTCTCCCCTCCAGTTTGAATCTCAAATGTCCATATACAAGTAAGGGCCTTGTGGAGGTGTCTGGGGTTGAACCATAAGACATGCAGGGGTCTCATAGGGACTTCCATTTCACTTGTAATTAATTGACTGGCTCATTCGGATGTGCACACAAGGTTGATCATTCAACACTCCAAGCCCTTCTGGTTGTTTTAGATGGCGGGAGAGAAACTGAGACACGCAGCAGGGAGCAGGATGACCAGGGGTACAGCGGCCCGTGAAAGCCCTTCTCCAAAGCAGCACATTTGAACCCACTAAATAAAGTCCTTAGCTTTTCTCCCTCTGGGGAATGACCAAGAGAAAAATAAGTTTAAATCATCAGTCAGTTGTGAATCTGCTGCCCCTCTGTCCTGTGTGCTTCTGGCAGCTCCATCTGTATTTGTATTACCTTTGCAGGAAATACAGAAAGGGGGATTGTTGTGTCTGTGAGGTGGCAAGGGAGAGGATCACTTGGGGACCCTTCAAGTTTCAGAGATATTATCTAAGAGCCCAGAGGAAGTTCCTTCCTTAGGTTGTCAGGAAAGGCACGGTCCAGAAGCTATGAACTGACAACTATTGTTATATAAGCAAAGGTATAGGTGAGGTACCCTGGTTGAACAAATTGAAGCTAAGATCCTAAGGTTATTTACCAGGCTGATCAGGACCCTTTACTCCAGCCCATTAATCATGGGACTGGTTCAGTGTTAGTTATGGAATAAATGGAATAAAGGGACCTTCTTCATGAACATACTCCAAGCTCTAACACCTAACTTTGACACTCCAACACAATTTGTAAAATATCTTGAGAAGGCTGACAGGCGTAGCAGGAAATGTTGGCTTTGTCCTACTGAATCTTACCAAAATTTAAGGGATATCAGTAAATTCCCTGCTTGAATACAGACAAAGGATTACCCACTCTATTCAGGAATCTGTTATGCATGGCTACACAGGACCTACGAGACTAAGGAGTAGGCAGGAATGGCAGGTATTCAGACACTCCAGTGGACAAATATATTGGATAGCAAATATTTTTAAGAGAATGAGAATACTGTCTTTACAGTGACTGGCAGGATTAGAAACACTGCAACTCTTGCTCCAGTGGGGTCTTTGGCAGGAAAAATGGGCCAGTAACTGGTAGTACTGTTGCCTAAACAGGAGTGTACCTAGAAGGTATAAGTCCTCCCTCAATAGTACAGGGAGGGAAGGGTTGGAGGCAAAGGAGGTTTTAAGT